GCATGAGCTCGAGTCACAGCACACGAGGGAAACACATCGGGATTCTTCTCAATGATAACATCATCCTTAGATGCAACAGTGATCGGCTCGCTAACCATTTAGGGATCGGCAACAGCTTTCCCCAGCCAAATCGTTTCCCAACAATAATGATGCACACTTAATTGGCAGAGTAGGTATTACTCCAACTACAACTGGTCCCGAAACTAGGTCTAATGCTAAATAAATGTTATGAAGAGGAACATTAACAAAGCCACTCTCAATACCCTGAGCTATAACATACTCATCAGTGGCAGAACTCGAACCTAAAGACAGTATACCTTCTAACAACAATAACTTAGTCGCCCCAGTATCACGCAGAATACGTATGATTATGGGATTGGCAGTGTCATTTGTCAACGACACAGAACCAACAGACACAAAAGGTCTAGATTCCCCCTGATTACATCAGCCTTTAAATCAGTGGCCGAATCAACAACATCGGGTGATCTGGTGAAACTACGTCGATATGTGGACATGAATGCACTGGGTGCTGCCTCCTTTTCTTTATCAAACACCAACAATCGGGCATAGCATGACCAGGTTTTTTTTTACAAAAATGGCAGACAGGCTTTCATAGGTTTGATGAAGTTTTATCCATATTTCTTTTTAAGAGAAGTAGTTTTATGTGTTAAAGTGTAATCTTTGGAAAGAACAACTGCTTCCTGTAGTGTTTGAACTTTCTTTTCGTCCAGGTAAGTTTGAGGTCATCATGTGCACAACGTTTAAATTCCTCAATTAGACATAATTGTCTTAGTTTGTCGAATTGCACCAACGATCAAAATAAATCTCTTTTTCGTGTGTAAATTCCATATACGTTTGATTATCTTGCTTGCGATAACCTCGAAACTTTTGGCAATAAGCCTCTGGTACTAACTCGTATGGTTTGAGAAGAGCTGCTTTAACTTTATCACAATTCGTACAATCTTCTAAAGAGAGAGCGGCATAAGCTTCTTATGCTTTACCAGTTAAGACACTTTGTAACAGTAATGACCATTTTTCAATGGGCCATTCCATGGTTAGGGCAACCTTCTCAAAATATTGGAATTATTTTTCAACTTCATTTTCATTAAATGGTGGTACTTTAACATCTCAATTAAGTTCAAAGTTGTCATTTTGTCTTGGTCGATTAGAATTGAGTCTAATTTCCATTTCTTTCAGTCTAATTTATTTTTCGGCTTCAATGCTAGCTTTTTCG